CAGGGATAAGCCTGCTGAAAGGTACCTTAACAGTTTCATCATGCATTCTTGTATTAAATATCTTGTTTTCTGGAGCAACTTGTTAGTCTTATAATATAGAGATTACAGAAAACTCTGTAGGGTTCCACTTCCACAAACAAGGAAAACTAGGTCTTTAATCAATTACTCGTGACAGAGAATTCTTTCATCAAGAAAAATATCGTCAAGCACTTTAGTTAAAAAATAAATGAAAAACACAACATGTAGTAATAGTATTCACTAAAAATAAGATTAAAAATACAAATATCGGACCTCTGTAGATATTGATCACTTCTCTCTGACAAACTTTAAAATCTACAGAGGTCGGTTATTTCAAAAGCAGAAAAAGGAAAGGGAATACATTTTAAATCATTTTGCAAACACTTACTGTTAAGAGAATTAAAATGTAAATTCCTTTGGACACTGCATATGTGGTCCCTGAATAGAGCACGGAAAATAATTAGTAGAATCAGAAGATCAAGGACCATGTTAAAAGGAAGAACAAGGGAAAAATTTTGGTAGTTACCATATGTAAGAGCAGCCAGTAGACTCCTGAAAGCTGAGAGCTAATTCCGTAGAATATTCTGGATCCCTCCATGAGATAATTGTATCTTAACAAGAAATAATCCAAACTCCACAATTCAGTATCAATTCTAGCCACTTGAGGACACCATATAATAGCAAATTAACGTTATATTATCTATCTATTAAAAAATAAAATACCTTCTTGCTTTCTGTAGATATCATCCGAACTGATACGATGCAGAAGTAACGTCTCATTATCTTCTTCATCAATAACAAATAAACCCAGCTCTTCTGATCTCTGTGTCACAACAGTTGCATTCAATCATAATGCATATCAAGAAATCATTTCTAAGGAAACTTGACTCCAAACAACTCATTTCTCACAAATTTACTATGTCCCTATCAGATTGGCATAGCTTTAATCCAATGAGATTAACAAACCTCCATATAGTCAACCGTAACATGGCCTGTTCCCTGATCATCCCATTTTCCATCTTCATTCAAACGGTATACCTTAACACGCTGAGATACATAAAAGAAAAATTAGACCAAAAACTTCTACCACATTCTATATACCAATATTACAACTGCAAATTTAAACTATAAGATGCTACCCGGAGCAGATACAAATCGGGTATCAACATGGCACTAGCACTCCATAGATAATTTATATATCATGTGACATGTCAACATCTTTTCTCCACCCAACACTTCACCGAAAAGGCTGAACCTGACTTGGAGGTTGTGATGTTTTTCAAAAAGGACAGCAACGATAATGAGGATAATGAGGATTGTTAGCCCAGTGAAGTTCTTTATTATTCTGGAAGGGTCTTTTCTTGTATTTTGATTTAACTAGATGTATTGGTTTGATTAAGTTATAACTGCTGCTTTGCATACTTAAATGAAATCATTTACCATATAAGTTTAGATAAATTAGTTGCATCTAGCCATGTAACGTCACAATCTTTTTGAGATTCTACAACCCACCATGTTCATGTTGTGTTGGTTCTTCGAAGCACATAAACAAGTAAAAGTGTAAATTCACAATCAATTGAGTCACTATAATACCATAAAGAGATAATTACCAAAGACAATAGTTTTATATGCATATGCAAAATTCTAAGAACTCACAAATACATACAAAATATAAAAAATGAGGATAAAATAGAAATAATTATATTTAAAATATGTGATGGAAAAGTTTCCTTAAGAAAAATTTAAATTAATGGCATTGCTTTCCATTTTCTTAACATGGTAAATAGGGTTAAGGCAATAAATTTCAGTAATGTCACAAAATGTGTCACTTGTTCAACGCAGTTCCTTAAGATTATTAAATTTAACATCATTCTGCTCAGAAATCTAGTTGTTATTACGGGAAAATATAACGGTCCAAAAGCTAGTAATCTAGTACAATGAAATTGGTATTGTAGAGATCACCAACTTAAAAGAAAATAATAGATGCCATCAAAAGGTTGTAAAGTCAATCTACGTCATCAACACGTCATCTGATGAGGAAATTTTCTAAGGAAGACCAATACTGCAGCACAAACAAAACGACAACAACGACAGCAATCCTCCAAATTCTTCGGTTCCCAAGTTAGAGAAAACAGAAATATCCAAAAAACCAAAACCAAATTAAGCTGGGGCCCACATTTCAAGGTCCAGAACCTAACTAAATTAGGCGTGAGAAAAGGTATAAATATTTGCATGGAGCTCAAACAAGCTGTGCATAACGAAAGAATTATAATCCTCCTCCTTCAACTTATACGGAAGTAGTATCAACCAAAGAGACCAAGAGCTTTAACAATTCCCAATTACAAAAATAAACTCTATCACATCCTTCAACCTAAAGCAGTGCCTTTGTCAATACTTCAATACTACAACTTCCCTCAACAGATCAAAAGATACTTTTAGAAAATACCAGCACATGGAAACGGCAATTATAGTCACCTTTCCAGTGAAGAACAGCATCCTTTCTATTAATAGAACAGAAAACAAGTAACACTCTGTATCTATTGACTCTCTTGTTAAACGGTGCCACACACTTCACTGCAACACCTCTAAGAGCTCAACCAGCTGATATGATATGAACACTACTTTTAAAACTTAAAGACGCCTCGGAGAACACAAGCAAGATTTAGTTTTGCATCGAAATCCTAACGAAATAGAATTTGAAATGTTATCATTTCCCAAACACATATAGCCAGCTCCACCCAAATGGAATTAAATTAGCTAACAAAATTAAACAGAAAGCAAAACCAAATATCCAATTGAGAGTGAACAAAATCAACCCCGAGCTTCAAAATTCGAAAATAACAAAAAAGACTGTATACACTGCGATTCTAGGTCAAAGTATTGAGCTTCCTAATTTTGTAGAAAAGCACACTCACCTGCATCGAATTGGTATTGGCCTGTGATTTCTCCGGCGCGCCCATCGGAGCTCCCTACTCTGCGATTCAAATTTCGTAGCTAAAATTGGGTAATTGGGTAAGAGTCTGAATCGAACAGGAGAATTTGACAAAACTTTCAATTAGGGTTTTGAGGGCGGGGCAAAAGAGAGAAGATGAGGGCAGAGGTAGGTGATTAGGGTTCCCGGAGATCAGTAGAAAACCCTAACCGCCATTAACGTAGCAGTGTGAACCTAAGAATTTTCTCGCGCTTTCTCTCTCTCTCACACTCTCTCTCCGCTTTTTATTCTTTTCTGTGCAAGTGTCTGAGCCCCGACCTTCACCTTCGATAATTAGAAGAAAAGTGGAAAACTATTACGCATGTTAGAAATTGTCATATGCCCGTTATGCCCCTTGTTTTCATGTGAAATTACGGTGAAGCCAATGACCATAGAGTCCACGCACTATCCACGCGCTTTCTTTTCGCGATCAAATCACGAGAGAGTTGGTATATCATATGCGTTGCTCTGCCCTGAAAAGCGGGTCCCTTACCTGCCTGTAGCTGAAAGACGCACACGTTCGCTTCTGATTGGCTGCTCAAGAGTATAACACGTGTAGCTTCTAGTAACTAGCTGTGACGGAACGGAACTTCGCAACTCCTTCCGGTCGCCAAAGAACAACCGCGCAGGTTGCACCAAACTTTGTGCAACCGATATGTATGATTAGTCTGGCACCTTTTGCTAGTTCATTTGTGTTTGTGAGAACTTGGAAAACTAAAATCTAGTTGAGATGTGACGTGGCTTATGGTGAGTGGATGGATGAGATTATACGGTTAGGATGGGAAAATGAGTGAACCTAGAGTTCGCCTTTTTCAGAAAATGTTCTTTATAATCATGCACTCCACCAAAAAAAACACATCATATTATTTTATAATAAAAATAAAAATGTTTCTCAAGTATTTTCTGGTATTTTCATCAAAGGAATAAGGATCCACATGACATTTTTGTTCTTATATGCTACCAAATCTATGGGACAACATGCACTAAATTTTAGTGGGTTGCAGTAACTGTTTGGCATTACTTATTTGGAGCAAAAAGTTTTTTTTTTTTTTTAATTTCTTCCACCTGCATGTTTGGTAAATGAAAAAAAAAAGAATCTGATTTTCAATTACATGCGATGGATAATTTGTTATGTTGAATTTTGATGGTTGAATTGCATTCAACATAAGTCATGAAATTTAATGTCAATTGCAGGTTTGAGTATGAAATATGGATTTAATGGTGTCGGTTGGTGATTGTGGCTGAGGTGAAGAAGCTGCTCTCTCTAGACTCTAGCTTGTGTTAGAGGAAGGCGCTAATTGGCAATTAACAATGAATTTTTGTGACTTTATTGTAACTTATTCTTAGAATCAATCAAATTATATGCTTTATATATAAGAAAATTATATGAAGATAAAATATTGATGGTTCAATTAAAATGAAGACAAAGTTACTACTATTTTTTAAATTTTAAAAAAAAATATTATGATAATTCATTTTGTAGACATTAGAGCTCAATCCGTTTAAACTGGTTAAATCGAATCAATTTGAGCGGATTGATTAATTTTATGCTAATATAGTGTAAACTTGGACTAATATGAATTAAATCGCAATTAGTTTGGTTTAATATAACTTTTTTATGTGCTTTTAGTAAAAACACTTCAAATAAAAACATTTCCTCCATAACTAATCCAAACGGACCGAAGTAAGTGAGTCACGGATACATAATAGACCAGAAAAAAAGACATATAGTACATTTATGTGAAAAATCACAGTTATGCTCTTACAAATAACTACAATTGAAAGTATTCCTTAAATCAAATAATACTATATAAATTATGAGAAGTTGCATCATTTTGTTCTTTTGAGAAATAAAATTAATTTTGATAAGGAATTTATACTTTTTTCACAGTTTTACCCGTACTCGTCACACCAGTTACCGTTTTGTTGCTAATTAATTTTGACTGCGAAATGCAGGCCCAGTGCGCATTTTAGAAAGCAGAGGAGAGGACAATTAACAAAAGATAGTAGAGCCCAGAAAGACGGTGAGTTGTTCATCAGCCGCACTTTGATATATCCGCCTGCTCCTACTACCTCTTAAGTCCTATACGGACTATTCGAGGCTGCCTCCTCATCTCTCTTTCTTCATCCCCCCATAATTATAACAACAAACTTCCCTCTCTCTCTCACATTTCCTTTCATTTGATTTCTCTCTCTTCAGATCTCTCTCTCCTCTTTCTCACATTCCCAAAATGCAGGCCTCGCTCTCTCTCCCTACCCTCTCTCCCACCATTCCCAGATCAAACTACGTCGTTCAATCAAAGCCTATCAATCTCCGCTTCTGCGGCCTCAGAAGAGAGGCCCTCGGCTTCTCGTCTCTCAGCCACTCCGATTCGCACCAAGTACGAGTCTCTGCTCCTTTGCGTTCTGCAACCGTCTCGGTCTCGGCCTCGTCATCCGCTAATGGAAGCCCTCCCAAGTCGTTCGACTACGACTTGCTCATCATCGGCGCCGGCGTCGGTGGCCACGGTGCTGCTCTCCACGCCGTCGAGAAGGTACGGAAACTACGCACTCACCCTCCTTTATAATTTACTGAGAAATTGCGGCTCTGAGCTTTGGATTTAGCTCAATTGTCACTTTATTGGTTGCTCTTCTAGCTTAACTTCTGTTCTAGTAGCTTCGATCGTCTTTGCTTTTTGCTTAAATAGACTGTACTAGCTAGCTAGAAATGGCTGATTTCTTTCTGTCTTCTGCTGCGGTAAGTTGTTCACTCGATCAAAGGTAATGAAAATGTGCATGGCGTAAGTGTATGTGTATATCTGATATCATGGCAACAAATGCATTAGCTACAAGCTTACAATCCATTTTAGTTTGATACTTCAAAATTAATACATAAGACTTAGAATATCTATGTGCATGTGTGTTGGTATGTAAGAAAATACTGGATTTATATAACAAACTTAGCAACTATCGTGGTTGCCCTCACACGGTAACAGACAATACTGGAGTTAGAATATAAATTGAAAAATAACTACCGACATAAGACGTGGTGGGTTGTTTTTGTTAATATATATATATATATATATATATATATATAGTACATATTCTCCTGTGTGGGGTTTTTGGAAAAGAAAGGCTCTTGAGTTGGTATTTATTGATTTTTCTTTTCTTAACACAACAATTGCAGGGTCTGAAAACTGCCATCGTAGAAGGAGATGTGGTGGGTGGAACATGTGTTAACAGAGGATGCGTTCCGTCTAAAGCTCTTTTGGCAGTGAGTGGTCGGATGCGTGAGCTTCAGAATGAACATCACCTTAAGGCTTTAGGTTTGCAGGTAAACATGATTCAGTGATATCAATTGTATGTACATTTATATGTATATGCAGATACAAGATTTTATTGGTTATTTGTGAAAACTTATGTATCTTACAGACTACAGTACTGCTTTATTGTGACGTATGATAGGTTTCAGCAGCTGGGTATGACAGACAGGGAGTAGCTGATCATGCGAATAATCTAGCAACAAAAATTCGTAATAGTTTGACCAATTCAATGAATTCTCTTGGAGTGGATATACTGACAGGTGTTGGTACAATTCTGGTAAGTCATGCATTCTTTCAAATTGATTTGGTATCAACACAATCAAATGTTTGCGTGCCCAGTTAAGAAATAAAGTTTGCTTTGTTACAATGCTGAGCTTGTTAAGGCTTGGCTATGATTAAGTTTGAGATCTCTCATACAGCGCAAGTGCTGGCAAGTTTTCCTAACTTTGGTACTCTTAATACGAAACTATTCAGGGCCCGCAAAAGGTGCAAATTGGATCTTCTGACAAAGTAGTAACTGCAAAAAACATAATCATCGCCACTGGCTCTGTTCCTTTTGTTCCTAAGGGTGTTGAAGTCGATGGTAAAATTTATATGTTTCCTCCTTGTTGATATTGAATAGTTGATGAAAGCATTTTGGTCTTAGTACCATGCTTAAGGGATACCTAGTGGTGACTGACTATATGATGGATCTGCAGGGAAGACTGTAATTACAAGTGACCATGCCCTTAAATTGGAGTTTGTTCCAGAGTGGATTGCTATTGTTGGAAGTGGTTACATTGGTCTTGAGTTCAGTGATGTGTATACTGCACTTGGGAGTGAGGTAGTTCCTTTCTTTTTATTTATTTTGTTTTTGTTTTTATAAATTACCTTTCATCTGGTGAATTTTACAATTATTTTATGTTAAACTAATGAGCCTAGTCTTCCATTTGAGGAAAACGAGTTTCTATTAATTGTAGTTTTAAGGCCTTATAGCATTAAACTATGGAGACCTTGTATGGATCAATCAGTAACTTCTCCTTGTGTCTACCAATGCAATAAGACACCTTTTTATTTATTTTTGAATGATCTAGGAGTTCTTATCTCATGAGGCAGTCTAGATTAATCTTAAGTCTTTTGCAGGTTACTTTTATTGAAGCTTTAGATCAGCTTATGCCTGGTTTTGATCCAGAGATCGGGAAGTTAGCCCAGAGGGTTCTAATAAATCCACGAAAGATTGATTATCAAACTGGAGTGTTTGCATCGAAGGTCAGCTGATGTTTATCCTCTGAATTTTATACCAAGTGTTTTCAGGGTTTCTGTTTCCGTTTTTCATTCTTTGGTTTTTAATAGATCACACCAGCAAAGGATGGGAAACCAGTCACCATTGAACTAATTGATGCCAAGACCAAGGAACCAAAAGATACTCTTGAGGTAATTAATTGGATCTGTTTAAACTTATGTAACGTATCCAAAGGATATATTTTCCCGCCATTAATGGATTTTGTCATATGAATTTGATAGCAACAGCCACATACTTCGCTAGTTGAATAATACCTTTGTCAAGGAACATGTTCTCATCTGTGGAGCTTTAATTAGCTATTTATAAATTAACCTGCTGTAATTTTGTTTCTGAACTCAGGCATATGCGTGTTTTAGACTTCCAAATTGATTCCTGAGTAGCTTGACTGGTTCCCTTATAATTACTGTAGGCATTGTTATTCCAGTTCATATGCATATAGGTTATTCAGAGGCATTTATCTGGACCTTTGTACATCCTCTTTTAACAGGTAGATGCAGCATTAATTGCAACTGGAAGGGCCCCATTCACACAAGGTCTTGGATTGGAGAATGTATGACCTCGCACTTTATATCCATCTAATTTTAGAGTGTATATATATAATTATTCAGCAAACGAACAGCAATAGTTTCTGACATTGCTTTTCTGCAGATTGATGTAGTAACACAACGTGGTTTTATTCCTGTTGATGAGCGCATGCGAGTAATAGATGCAAATGGCAACTTGGTACGTTGCAAATTTCCTTATGAGCATGAACCCTAGTATTAACATTATCAATTGTTTCTGATGTGAATTTTGAACATCAGGTTCCTCACCTATTTTGCATTGGTGATGCTAATGGCAAGATGATGCTTGCTCATGCAGCCAGTGCCCAAGGAATTTCAGGTTAGTGTAACCAACCTGTTTTTATTTGAACCTCTCTCTCTCTCTCTCTCTCTCTCTCTCTCTCACGTGCACAAATAAATGATTATCTTCAAAACCTTTTTCAGTGGTTGAACAAGTCACGGGAAGAGACCATGTACTCAATCATTTAAGCATCCCCGCAGCATGTTTCACTCATCCCGAAATCAGTATGGTCGGATTGACAGAGGTGAGTAATTTGCTAATTGACATATTCATTATTCATCATCTATGTATCACAAGGTTATTCATTATTCATCATCTATGCTTTTATTTATCAGAATTTAACATATTCGACCTTGAATTAGAGATCTTGCTAGGTGTCATCATATTGGCAGTTTAACTAATCAATTACAATTTTCAGCCTCAAGCAAGGGAGAAAGCTGAAAAGGAGGGATTTGAAGTAAGTATTGCCAAGACAAGTTTCAAGGCCAACACAAAGGCCCTAGCAGAAAATGAAGGAGAGGGACTTGCTAAGGTGAAAAATATGTACTGAGTACTTGTGTCGTCAATGAATTCTCCTTTATGGTTGCTATGTACTGTGGATATTGACGATCCTGTTTCTGCTTTGTTTTAATGCAGTTGATATACAGACCAGATAACGGAGAGATACTTGGAGTCCATATATTTGGGTTACATGCTGCAGACCTCATACATGAAGCATCAAATGCAATAGCATTGGGGACACGTATTCAAGTAAATAAAGCCCATACACTGCAAATTATGATGCGCCCCTTGTAATCTACCACTCCCAACTTTCAGTTTACTTATATTCTACTGTCTATTCGACCTTGCAGGATATCAAATTCGCAGTCCATGCGCATCCAACTTTGTCTGAAGTGCTAGATGAACTTTTCAAGTCAGCAAAGGTGAGCTGCTGACTTTAACTTCTTACGTCATGCTGTGTGGCTGCACTTCTTCTTCCTGATATGTGTTTACCCACATATCTTTTTTAATTGTTGGGGCAGGTTAAAGAGCATGTTTCTAGCCCAGTAAGTGAACCAGTTGCAGTCTAAGCTTCTCAATACTCGAGTATAAATTTTGAAGATATTTGCTTGTAATAGGGAGTTTCAGGAAGTTTTGTATCACAAGACAAAAGAGATCATCAACACCAGGAGAAAAGAAGCAACTTAAGGGAATCAAGGACGACTTGGCCCAAAATATTTTTCGCCTTTGTATCTTGGCTTTTTAGTTTTTATAATGGCTTATGGTAAAAAGACAAAAAAGACAAAAAAGATCATTCAACTTAATAATTAACCCTAATACATCTATACGCACACCCCACCACTCTTTATATTAAGTTTTAGAAATCTCCTTCCAACTTCCTCTTTACAAACTCACTCTCTCTCTCTCTCTCTCAACAATACCCAAGTATTAGAATTCCAGTTACAATTCTTAGAGAGATGTAAAGTTGTTCTCTTTCTCTAGAAAGTATTAAATTTCGAATTTCGGGTTTTATTTTTATTTTTATTTTTATTTTACTGGAAACAAAGAAAATTGTGGGGTTTAAATAAAAAATCTCTTTTAGTTCTTACTTTTTCAATTTGGGGTGTATTTAAGGGCAGTTTGGGAATAGAGTGGGGTTTTCTTAGAAATTGTAAAAATTTAAATTAAAAGTTCGGGTGAACTTAAAACATGGGGTGAACTAAGAGAAGTGTGGAGTTTAAATAGAAAATCTCTATAATATAATAAAGGCTGGACTTTTTGTATAAAAAAAGACTATTGGCCCTATATCGACATTTCATTTTGAAAGAAAAAGTTTCTAAATCGCTATTTCAGTTGTTAATAGCCCTTTGAGAACATTTAAACTTTGGTAAGTTACAAAAACATAAACTCCCTAAAATATAATTACATATTACAAATTATTCTACAATTGAAAGGAAAATATTTTTGGCAAATACCTAATTTTAATTTATTCGGTGCGCTGCCTTCCTCGTAGGGCCGTCCTTCAGAATTTTGAACTCGGAGCATGAAACGCTATGTACAACACCACAATGAAAGGAATAGCCTTTCATCACAAGAGAGATATAGACACAAAAAAAAGGTTTAAAAAAAAATCATCTCAGGAGCATGATGACAAAATAGAATAAGATTGGCATGCAATCTGAGCTCCTGCTGCCTAATTGAAACGAGATAGGCGTGCAATCTAAGCTCCTGCTGCCTCGTTGCAATGGAGGCATGAAATCAAGAACATGATGAAAGGGGGTGATACAAACTACATTCCTCTGATATTTGATCAAACTCTTTGGTTGCATTCATTTCAATCCATTCAATTCTAACAACCAAAACTACCATAAGCCATCCATGATGATTATTCTAACCAGGAAATCAACCCCATAAACAAAAACAAAAACAAACAGAAAACAATTCATCATATCTTAACTGCAACTACAATCTCCGTTTATATCTTAGTAAATCTGCAGAAAAACGTATCTACAAGAGTCCAAAGAATCAAATCGGACTAAGGAACCTAGCAAGGCTACAAATTTTAATCTGGAAATGCTTACTAGACAATATCCCAAAAATTAAACTCAACGAAACCCCGGATGAACAACAATCTTCACAAAAACCCAGATATGTGATCCTAACATCATTCATAAACATTTCTGCTTACCTAATATGCTCATGAAACATCAGAGAAGCTAGCATGAGCATAGACAACCTAAAACATATATCAACCACATAACTATATAAGCAAGTCATTCTAATAAATGAACTTGTTGTGCTGAAATATAGGAAAACTCATCCATTCCAATCAAAGAAAGAAAACATAGAGAGCAATAGAATTAAGTCAAAAACTTATATCCATAACAAAAGTAGCATTTCAGGACTGCTGCTCGTACATGCAAATTGAAATGAAATCCACTAAAGTAACATCAAACTACTATGTTACTAACGACAAATTAAGCATAAAATGACATCAAAACCAAAATAACCCTAATCAGGGAAAACCCCAAACAGAGCCATGATTTGAGGTCAGCTCTCACTCTATTCTTCCTCGGTGGCTGATTCGTTCTTGGTGTTGTTGTGCTTCCTGGCGTACCTTTGGTTCCTCAGGAACTTGGGGTCCATCTATACCCAAAATCCAATTGTTAGGGCAAAAAAAAAACCCCAAATACAAAGCAAAATCAAAATTAATCAAGGGACGGAAGTTGAAATCAGTACCCCTTTGGTTGAAGTGTGGCGATGCCTCTGAGGCTTCTTGATGCCATTCCTGTGAGCCTTGCGGGACTGGTTGTGAGCGGTGTGGTTCTTCGACTTGGCCATCTCTGCAATCACAAATCCAAATACAAACACAAGTAATTAGTAGCAGAAATGGAGCTGAGAATCAGGATAGAGAGATTGAAGTAAGAGCTTCTCTAGTTCAGAGAAGGAGAGACGGCACGAACCAGAAGGAGAACGAGGGATCTATCAGCGACGTCGCTTGGGTGTTAGGGTTCTCTTTGAACAGAAAATGAGAAGTTGGGCTTTATATGTGAGCTCCTGGAAAAACCCTAGCTTCCGGCTCTTGTATTTTTATAATGACGAAAGTGCCCTTCCATTGCCGATTGGAAAAAAAATCCGCTTGTGATTGGTTGGGCTGGCTCGCTTCAGAGCCCAATCGTGATAAGATTGGGCTTTGTTGGTATCATCGAAAACCCAATTCCTCTTACCTTCTTTTATTGAGGTACTATTTTTCTTTCCTTTGTGACTTGCAGATTTTACACAAGGGTCTTGATAAAATTTTGAAAAAACAAATTGGAGAAGTTGTGGAGAGAAATTAAAGAATTATCAATAAAATCAAATTGAGAAAGAAAAAAAAAAAGGGGATTGTTAACAATTATTAATCAAATCAAGTTGTGTTTGATTAAAGGGTTACATAATATAAAACGTTATGGGGTCTATTCACTCAAGCCCAAAAACCACGCGATTCTATTTGATTAAAGTAGTGGATGTGGTCTATACTATGCACCCGAATTTGAATCTCATCCCCGTAGTTTAGATTAGATTAAAGTAAATTTTTTTTATAAAAAAATTATAAGAGAGAGATATTTCTCACATACACTATCAAAGTATCATAATTCCCTTTCTATATTGCAAAAAAGGGATGTATTTCATCTTATTTTGTAAAGAGGAAAAGTAAATTAATGGTCCAAAGTCAAAACGACAGAGAGGCAAATGCAATTACAAAACAACTAAGCAGCCAATCAGATTTAGGTAAGCATATAAAAATTATTTTCCAAATTACATAATATTTCCCTTACATATTTAATGAGAGTTAGGTGAGTATTTATATCAACCTCAATAGGGTGAAAATTAATCTCCCATAGCTCACCAAAATCACCACCATCACTTGCTGGCAGAGCCCAGAAATCCACCGGCTCCAGTTGTAACGCTGAACTGGCACACAAACGACAACACTTTACACCCATTTAAATAAATTTTCTTTATTTCGTCATTATTTCATTAGTCTGATTTGATCTCTGTAGTCTTTGCGCTTGATTTGTTGTGGGTATTTAGTATTTATCTCGCTAACCCACCGATCTGGTCCTTGAGAAGAAGCCATGTTCCTGGTCGACTGGTTCTATGGCGTCCTTGCCTCTCTGGGCCTGTGGCAGAAGGAGGCCAAGATTCTGTTTTTGGGCCTCGACAACGCCGGCAAGACCACCCTCCTCCACATGTTGAAGGATGAGGTTTCTCTCTTTCTCCTTTGTCATTATCATGGCTTATTTTTGTTGGGTTTTTCTTGATTTTGATAAATATGTATGTATGTGGTGATGGGTTGTTCCAGAGACTAGTGCAGCATCAGCCGACCCAGCACCCAACTTCGGAGGAATTGAGCATTGGGAAGATTAAATTCAAGGCTTTTGATTTGGGTGGCCACCAGATCGCTCGCAGAGTCTGGAAGGATTACTATGCTAAGGTGTTTAGACTCTCACCCAGTATTAGATTTGTAATCCTAAATTGTTATCAGATTTGATTGATTATAGTTTTCAGCTGAAACATGATCTGCACATTGCTTGCTATGAATTTCGTGCTTGCACTACAAGGTTGGCTGCTACTAATTCGTGAATCATAATCTCTTGTTTCACTTGGGTGGTAAATTATGTTTCTGGGATAAAAATCTCATACAATGGTACAGTTTATCAGATATTCCTACGCAGTACAGATTGTTTCTAACATCATTTATTTATATATTTCGATGTCTTTCTTTGTTTTCAAATTTTTCGGATGATTGTAGCTTTTGTTGCTTGTCTACATCATGTTTTAATCCAGCTATTGGTTTTATCTCAGTAGATGGGAAAGCTGAAAGTAGGCATGATTTGTTTGCTATTGCTAGTTCGCATGTCTTGCCTTCATAATCCCAGCTAAAATTTCCTTTTGGTTATCTGATTCATGGGAGGCAAACATTTACAATGGAGATTTTGCTGAGAGCACCTTTTTTTTTTCTGTCTTTCCGGAGGTGTTTTACTTGTGTCTTTCCATACATGGTGTCCTATAAAAGCTATCATGATTCATGAATGTGGTTTGGGCCAGAGTTGATGACCTATTCTTCCATTAAGAAAACCTGGGTCTCAATGTTTTATTTTGTGGATTAACTTGACACTAATTATTTCGTAGTTTTAGAAAACAACAAGAAGTATGGTTCAACACCCTAAACCATGCTTTTCTGTCTTTCTTTTCCTGTTTATTCCTGGCGTATGGGAAAATGTTTTATGTCAATTTTATATGTTTGAGACCTTTAATTTGCAAGAAGTGTAACTTATTCTTGCCATTCTGGCCTAGCTTTTCAAAAATCACAGCATCAACTTACATGTATTCACGCACATGTTTCCTAGTTCTTTTTCCCTTTCTAATAAATAACTTTGTAGACCTACTCCATATTTCCTAGTGGAGAAGTCAGAAGAGTGAAAAAGAGAAGACAACCGTAAGAGATTTATGAAAAGTGGAAAGTGGGTTTATGACTTATAAGCTATTCCAGACATTTGAAGATTTAGTTGAGGTTGCTTCTCTGCCAATTTGTATGATGATTATATTTTGAATTAGACTTGAGGACCTCTCAAAGTAAATGCTTAGTATTTACCTTCATGCATTCAGTTTGGTTTCCCTTACACATACGAAGTACAGTCTTTATATCATCTCTGCCCTCTCACGGTTTTCATGATTGCATATCAAATTCTTATTTTTTTCCTGCACCAAGCTCTACTTTATCAAATATATAAAGTGCTATAATTCCTTTATTGCTCGAGTTTGTGATTCCTTCATTCCTGTTAGTGAATTGGAGTTTTCTAGTACCTATTTGGATTGTGCCAAAGTAAATAAATGTTGCAAGTTTTTAATTCAACATTTTTTTTTCTGTTGTGAACAGGTGGATGCAGTGGTTTACCTGGTTGATGCATACGACAAGGATCGTTTTGCAGAATCAAAGAAGGAGCTGGATGCACTCCTTTCAGATGAGAGCCTGGCAACTGTTCCATTTCTTGTGCTGGGCAACAAGATTGACATCCCCTATGCTGCTTCAGAAGATGAGCTGCGATATCATCTAGGACTGACTAACTTCACTACTGGGAAGGGAAAAGTGAATCTTACGGACACCACTGTCCGCCCCCTAGAGGTTTTCATGTGCAGTATCGTCCGCAAGATGGGGTACGGGGATGGCTTCAAGTGGGTCTCCCAATATATCAAATAGAGAGTAGAGTAGGGGGATCCTTTTTGGCTTAGTATTTGTGTGGTACTTTTTTCCTGCGAATTTGTAGTATCTGACCACAATTATAATGGAAGAGGATTTTCTTATTTGATTTTTATCAGATTGAAGGATAAAACACTCTCATCATAATATATCAATTTGTTGCAATGTTCAATTTTAAATATGTGCTTCTTGAACCAGATTCAGTGTAATTCTTTTCAATCTGTTGTACCCTACACTTTTGTAGCACTGATAATTTCTCTGGTTGTGCTGGTGTTGGCATATTCTTTCTAATGAGCAAAACACCAGCAACTCCCCACACTCTTCCTAGCAGCCTCGACCCCAACCCCCTCCCCACACATCCGCAGCCGTCAACCACCCACTTCTCCAGCACACACAACACCATCAATGTCTCTCTGTCTATGTCTCTCTGGAACTGACTGTTAAAAGAATACCCTGAAACTTTTTTTTCCTAACAAATCTGTAAGATTTAACACGAAGAGCTGTTGGTTGGGAGAACATGATGAGTGTACGTGTTGTACGGGTTTTCTTGTTCGGGTTGGGATTTTTGGCTGGAATTTATTGAAGTTGATGTGAGATTGAATGTGGGTTTTCAGCTTGGCTCAGGAGAGGGAGGGCTGGTTCCTTGTCGTTGGGTTGGGGCTTTCCCTCATTGAAATTGATGACGATGGATCATGATATATTCTTCGTTAGTGGTGGTGGGAATGGTGGATCTGGGTACAGAGCTGTGAAGCTGGTAGGAGTGACTCGAAACAAAAGTGGAGTTGAGAGACTACGGCAGTTATCTTCAACGCCAAAATGTGAATCGGATACAAGCAAAGCAAAGAACTCAGAATGTTACAATAACAATGTGCTCAAATCTCGTAGAAGCAGAGGTTAATTAAAAAGAAACTCTTAAGGCAGTAGGATATAGCTTTGTTGGTCGAGCCCTTTCACACTTTCGCATTCATCCACGTAAGAAGAGGTTCGAAATCCCCGAATGCTCAATGAATATTTTGTGTAAATCCTAAACACAAAAAACCTTAAAATTTTGTCATTATAAAAAAGTGATCGACAAACACAACTTTAAAATTTTAGGGAAATAAAAAAGTGATGATCTGGCACTGGCGCTGTACCGGATAATCAACCTCAGCTCAGCATACCGTGAGATGATGACTCCACGCATGCATTTTTGTCTAGGTTCCTTCCCTCCACTCTACCAGTTTCCAACTCGATGGCTTTCGCACAAAACACAACGCAATGACGAGTACTACCCAATCACATCGCTCCACGTAGGTTCCGCACTCTCCAAACCGGCATTTTACGGTCACCATACGTATCCACCGGCTCCACGTCATCACCCTTCTCTCACCAAAGCTCTCCGCTTACCTACCAAAGCAGTCAACACTGTCCAGCTTCCGCACTCTTTGACTGTCCATAAAAATATATAATTTCCCGGAAAATCTTTCAGAATACAAACCATAACAGAAAATTAGGATATTCCGTCACTTTTCCCTCACCTTCTTCTTTCAGAACCTGGGTTAAATTTGGTTTTCAGTGGAATTTGAAAATCTCAGTGCTTTAAATTTCTCTTCGGATATGTTTCTGGTGGATTGGTTCTATGGGGTTCTGGCGTCGCTAGGGCTATGGCAGAAAGAGGCGAAGATCTTGTTCTTAGGGCTTGATAATGCCGGAAAGACTACCTTGCTACACATGCTCAAAGATGAGGTGCCGAGTCTCTCTCGTTCTCTGTCTTTATTTGAATTTCTTATTTGGGACGATTGCTGTTTCGTTTTGGGTTGAACAAGTTAGGGTTTTTTTGGTTGCAGAGATTAGTTCAACACCAACCGACCCAGTATCCGACCTCGGAGGAACTGAGTATAGGGCAGATTAAGTTCAAGGCCTTTGATTTGGGTGGCCATCAGATCGCTCGCAGAGTCTGGAAGGACTATTACGCCAAGGTTTAGATTTTACCCAAAATACTAATTCGAGTTCTTTGATTTTTGATATGGTAATTTAGAGTTTGATTTGATTCGTTCTTAGAAATTGTGGTTGCATGTTATAGATGTTGGATAAAAAATGAAAAGTTTAGCATATACACGCGTGTGTATGGTATGTTTGTGTGTGTATATATGCAATGGAATGGAACCCTGTTGGAATAAAGAAATAATGGAACCCTTGGTAGTGACTAAATGAATTTTTAAGCCATCCCTTGTTAGTCACATCCATGGGTGTGAGTCACATGCAGTGGATTTCATGTTATTTTATTCCTATTCCTAGTCCTTGAACTTGAAGTTAGCGGTCAAGAGTTTGGTTGGCTGTGATTATTATAAGCCAATTGATGGTTTTTGTCAAATTAATTTTGGGTTCTAATGGGTGATTTTCCCATGATTTGTCTTTTTGTGATGAGCATATATTCATAGATGGTGTGCGACCTTTTTGATTGTCTAGGTGGATGCTGTAGTCTACCTGGTTGATGCTTATGACAAGGAGAGATTTGCAGAGTCAAAGAAGGAGCTCGATGCTCTTCTCTCCGACGAGTCACTTGCAAATGTCCCATTTCTTATATTGGGAAACAAGATTGACATACCTTATGCTGCCTCAGAGGATGAGCTGCGTCACCATATGGGCCTGACAAACTTCACCACAGGTAAAGGGAAAGTGAATCTGGCCGATTCCAATGTTCGCCCCCTTGAGGTGTTCATGTGCAGCATTGTCCGTAAGATGGGGTACGGCGAAGGCTTCAAGTGGCTCTCTCAATACATCAATTAGGCGGAACAATGGAGAAGCAGCTGTGCCACAGGAGATGGTAGTTTTGCTGCCGCGTTTGGACTCTCCATTAGATTTGATGTTGTCTATTTCTACGCATGGATGCTTATGTAAAGTGGATGTGTTGTCTTTAGATGCATAGCAGGTTTTTGCTCTTCAATTTTTAGCTTCGAAACCTAGTGCGCATTTTCTTACTATTTCTTCTATAATGTTTTTTTATGTTCAGGATAGATTAGTTGTGTTAGTTTTCTTACCATGTACTGGTAATTAGATTGCAGAACCAATGAATATTTACAGAATGCCTACTCTGCCTTCATGCTTCCTGTTTTTCTACCTTGCCAAGTAGTAATGGTGACCACTCTCCCAAGTGACAAGCTACCATTCAATAAGTAGGGTCTCCCACTTTCCACAGTTCAGGTTTATCTATGACCTGCAAGTGATCAAATGTGGACCTAACCACCAAGGCTACAACTTCAACTACCAAAAGGTAGTGATAAGGTTCTTCATTGATTAGAACATTGACCAAATAGTGTGGTGGGGAAGCAGATAACACACACAAATATGAACAAGATGTGGTACTTCACAAGAACACTAAAAACCAAGAAGCACATTGCGACTGACCCATTATGAATGAAACTAGAACCCTCCCAACAATCCTAAAACGGCCTGAAAGGGTCAAAATCGCAAAACTATTTGTTCTAGGCATTTACAAGTTATACAGGCTACGCAACTACAGAGAGCTCCACCCCGAGTTTTTTCATTTGCCTGTCTAGACCTCAGGAATTTCTTCAACTATCCAAGTCAGGATTCAGAAGCTCTTCGAATTCCAGCTGCAGAAGATAAAGATTTGATTAGTTAATGTATCGGCAGAATTGTACTGTAACATTGAAAGAAGAATTCTAAGTTCTAACCAGATCACTCACCTTTGCTTCAATGTGGGTCAACTTCATCCGACTATATTCTTCTTGTGCTTTCTTTGAGCGGAACATGGCCTGAACCCGTACAACAGATCTCTCAATGCGCTCTTCAGCTTGTTTCCGGCTGGCCCGGTAGAAGTCTTCTTCTGTATCACTTTCCTGCTTCTGATCTACATCGACTTCAACCGGGGCCACATTAAGCCCACGAAGCCCTCTTCTTTTAAAACGCCACCGCAAAACAGCTTTCTCAAGCACTCCAACTGACCAAAGAACTTTTCGGTACTGCCTCCGCACTTGGAATCCCCGAAAAGCAGCCTGCATAAAACGAAAATGCAATCAACCAATTTTTCCTGGACTCTCAAGAGTTAATCCATCACCGTTACTGCATGTATTAATCACCAAATTTTAAAAAATATATAATTCATTAACAGTCACAATGATATCATGCACCAAGAATTCACGACCAAAGAAAAATCATACACCAAGAATTAGAATGGAGTGCCTTTGGGTTGGGTGGGAATCCAGTAGTATGCTCTAGTCATGGCTAATAAACCAAGTTACCTAATACAAATGAAGGTTGCAATTTGACCAATCAAATGTAAAACTGATTGACCCTATGTGAATTGACTCAAAATGTCCTATTTAAATTTGATTTTCCAAAAGGATTTGTTTATGTCACTGTGTGGTTCATACTAGCCGTATTCACTTGTCAACTATGCCAGAAAGAAGGGAAGAAGCTTTACTTGAATTTTGATAGCTTGACGGCGCAAACTAAGGAATTCTTGGCGCATCTTCCAGGTACGAAACCTATATTGAATGCGGGCAGCAGCTTTGATCTTTTTTCGTGTATCATAGTTGCGAAAGGCATGTTGAATTTTCAATGCTGCAATTATACCACGTGCTTCAGCCTCTGGAGTGGAATACTGAACTGCTTTAGCCTTTAATTTTAGTGAGTTCTCCCTGAATGCAGCCTGTATTCGTGCTGCAGCATCAGCAGCTGTCCGATAAGCTGCCAAAGTATCCTTCAGATGTATCTCGTCCTCACTGAGGTTCTCAGAGTTCCCTGCATAGTTTGAGCTAGTTTGAAGGGAACCACTAGCATTTCCAGCCATGCTCATATCCTTGAATTGTTCTACCAAAGCCTTCTCTGACAGATAAGCTGCTAAGCCATCATACCCCTTCATGGCTGCAAGATCAGCAGCAGTACATCCACCAGGGTTTTCTGAACTGGGGTCAGTGACCAAGTTTGGCTTTGCCCCCGCAGATAAAAGAACTGCAACCATTTTCTCCCTACACATGGAGACTTTTAGCATTAAGAAAATCTCAGAAGATATAATTCCAATCTCGTCACAGAACGCATTTAAACAATTGGCTTTTTATCAGAAATGGTCCCTAAGGTTAGCAAAATTATCACCTTTCGTCCTCAATCTTTTTT